CATCTCAAGTTTTCATCGAATACAATACCTAAACATCGAATTTTCGATCGCAATTTAAGAAATGTTTACAGTTACGAACTAAAATTTGAAAATCGTACGTATTTGTTGAAAATTGGATGCAAGCAAATTGTTCGATCCTCATTCAACCTTAAACCACTTTCGTTAAAACATTTATGTGTTACAAGACCATTATTTGGAATTGAAACGCATTCACGGTGCGCGTTTCAGATATTATAACCAGTGGCGTGCACAGGGGGGGTGGGTGATAGGGGATATATCCCCAATGGGTTTTTTCTTTTTTTTGAACTTTAACGTTTAAAAAAGTATTTAAGAAATACGACGGGGCAGTCATGGTTAAATGGTTTGCGTTGACGAACATTCATCGAGACATTCCATTATCTACAGAAAAAATGATTGATGAATTGAGTGTGAAAGCCGGAAGGATGAATTTCCGCCTTGATTTAATTTTTTTTTTTTTTGCATAATGGTAATGAATAAAAATTGAAAATTATACATTTTTATGTACCCCACATTCCATATTCCTCCGCGCGCCAGTGACTATTAACGATCTTCTTATCGCCTCGGGCGAAATGAATACCGACGTCGAGTGCGCGACATCTGCATCGAATCATTTCGTTACTAACCGTACCAGCGCCAAACCGTAAACCACATACCGAGCACGTCCCGCGGGAATATCCGTGGCGTAAATTTCCCCGGCCCAAAAGCGTTCGTCGTCACAGGGTTGTGGTCCAGCACGTTTTCTCGGTGAAAACGTCTCCGAAAATACAAATATTACATTGCTGATGATTATTTCACGTGTCTTTTGTCGTACCATTTAATTATTCCGTGTTCGGGGGATGCGTTTCGTAAACAGAGTAACGAATTCGCGTACGCGTCACGACCGACATGGAAAAATAACTTTTGAATTTGTCATTTCTTATAGAAAACTACGGAAACGGAAAACTTCACCAAACGAACCGTAATCCAATAATTGGTTTCGTTTCCAAACGAATATTTTACGTGATTAGTACCGTTGGGTTTGTTTTACTTACACGTTTGAACGGCTTCCGGTGGTAATACACACCGCTGGAGTGACGAATGAATCCCCGTGTACGTAATAAAGCTTCTGTTGTTCTAAAGGTTATGCAGTTCATATCAATTTGTTGCAATAACTATCACGCCTAACCAATGTTGTTAAAAATACTTTTCAAAAGTATTTCAAATGGGTATTTAAATACTTCAATTAAAAAAAATTTTTCAAATATTTTTAAATACATTTTTTTAAGCTTTGTTGTTATCAGATTCTTAATTATGAAAACATTACGGCAAGATTACATTAATTTATAGTGAGTAGCGACTAACGTAATAAATTAATTTTAACCAATAACAAGTGTTGGAGTTTGTGAGTATGTGGGATACTAGGATTCGGGGTGTCGCCGTTCTACGATACTATAAAATATAAATAGCCAAATAGATATACGATATACGGGAAGTATTATTTTTCATATCTTTAAATATTTTTTGCCTGTAACAACATTTATAATCGTCACTTCGTCTTGTCGACCATAAGCAATTTCTTCAAAATCGAAAAACCAAACTAAGAATCTTGTTTGAAAATTTTATATTTAATATTTTTAAATAAAAAATATAATAATAAATATTTGAAATACTTCTGCCCAAAAGTATCTCAAATGAATTTAAATTACAGAAAAATAATTTTAATACTAATATTTAAATATTTAACAAGTACGCGTCTAACCGTACACGGCGTTCTTTCTTTTCAAAACTTACGATTAACTACGAAACTGATTTTTGAATATTCAATTGCGATACTCTGGAATTAATATTATTTATTGATACCAAATTTGTTATAATATGTTATAAAGTGTATAAATTCATTAATCTTTGGTTCTCTTTTCAAAAACCTTGTTTGTGCAGAAAAGAAAAAGTTTGTGACACAAAGTCGTTAGTAATAAGAAAATTAAAAATAGAACAAAATAGAAAATTAATAAGAACACTTTAAATAAATATAATAAAACAATTAAAGTATTAAAATATATTATACAGGGTGGTTATGTCTTAAATAAGCGTAAGCACAAAGTAGATTAAATCCATTAGGTGCCTTAACCGTTAGTTATTGAAATAGAACTAGGATATTTAGTAATGTTATAATTATATATAACAATAAGTAAGCTATACTTTTAAATACCTATTATAAAATATTTAAATTGTCGTAACAACTTATTGTTTCATAAAAAGGCTGTTTTGTTGTTGCCTTTTTTTTTTTTAGCTATAAACAACGCAAACCAAAAAAAATTAGTAAAAAGATTAACATTTATAGCAGATGTTAGATTGGAATGAATACATGAACCATGCGTATAATAGAGAAGAATGAAAGAATTTAGTATTGACAGCAAAGGGCCTAAATGGCCTGTAACGCTGTAAAAAAAAAAAAAAAAAAAAAGGAGATGTTTGATCCCATCAGGAAAACGTAACGGGCCATTCTGTACATTGAAATAATAATAATCATCTATAGGTCTGTTCACGCGCGCATGTATAGACAGTGACGGTGCTAGAGTTTGGGAGGCCCTGGGTAAAATTAATGTTGGGTCTTATAATTTATATTAATAAAATATTTTAAGTTCAGTCAAATCAGAACCGCGGGACCTTAATTATAATTTAAGTCGCGGGCCCCTGGGCAACTGCCCCTATTACCCACCCCCTCGCGCCGTCCCTGTGTATAGATATATATAATAAGATCAAAAAGTTCTCAGAATTTATTTATAGAAAAAAAAAATATTTTACGTATCACAAATATGATTATTGAAATTAAAAGTACACGTAATTGACCATTTACAGGTATAATCGTTATAACTACATTAGTTTCCCGTTAACCGTTATCGAATCTTTACGAAATATAGTTTACGCATTTAGTTAAAATGGCGCAATTTGAGCAACTAGCCCGCATTAAATTTTGATTTAAGCTTGGAAAAACTGCTGGAGAAGGGTTAATTCACTGGGAGTTTGTTTCAAATGGACAAACGGTTAACTTTAGTTTTTATATTGAAGTTGTAAAACGTTTAAAAAAGTTCGATCCGCCGAAAGAGGCCGGAGAATTGGGAAAATGGGCGGTTTTCGCACTACGAATCACACCGCGTCACACATCTTTTGCAGTTCAGCAAAAAATTCTCACAATCACCAGATATTGCACCATTTGATTTCCGACCATTTACTCATCTGAAACTAGGACTCAAAGGTGAACATTTAACGACGATTGAAATAATTAAAGCTAATGTGACGGCTAATCTCAGGGTCATACCAATAGATGGATATCGAAGATATTTCGAGCAATTACGAACTCATTAGAGTAAGTGTTTCCGTTCCCAAAGACAATATTTTAATGGACATTAAGGTTATACTTAAGTTTAAACTGTATAAATAAAAAAATCAAATTAAATTCCGGAACACTTTTGATCCCACTATCCACATGTATGTACCAGTATAACACAATAATAGTTACAGTATAATATAGTACACGCGAAAATTCGAAATCAACTCAAAAGTATGATGTCATCGCATGTATTGGCGCGTTATACGCACCCTCTACGTGCGGACGCACACGAACATTTTTCACTTAGCGAGGGGATCGTTAAAATATACATATATATGTATATATATATGTACAGGCAGTCCATAAAAAACCCACCACCGACCACTTGAAAAGTTCTGAAAGCCATCACGTTGTCGGAGCATTCTCGTTGTTATTAACACGCGTCTTACGACTAGCGTTTAAAAAAGTAACGATGACCCTACGGAATAAAAAATAAAACACGTCATCCCATAAACTCTGCAGCACCACGTATAAAAATCAACGTTTTTGGGATCGATTTAAATTTCTATACTATCGCGTATATATATATATATATACAGTGGAACACTCGTGTTTTTATCCGTAACGTTTTTCGGTAGATCTAGATTATATATTTTACGGACTAGTTTAAAATAATAACAATAACAATTTAAAACGTACACAAAGCATCGAACAATAAACGTCACTCGGAAATAGAAACCGTTTCGCTCGCCTTTATGCAGCAGAACGACGTGGCAATGGCGTATTCGTGAAATGCGACAAAGTTATCGCGATGAAAAACGCTAAAAATGCAGGGTTCGGTTAATTTAAAAATTGTTTAGAAAAAAAAAAAAGCTCGCCGCTACCTCAATATGATTTCCCCGTGAGCTATTGAACAATTCGAATAATGCAGTGTGCGCGCTGAAATTAAGTAACGTGAATTGTGTTCGTATCGATCAATTGATACTCGGCTTTTGAAACAATTTTTCACTTCCATTTATTAAAAAAAAAAATTCTGAAAAACTCGTCATCGCAACAAAACTAGAAACTTTCGCGCTCACTTTACTCGATACAAAAAGCGCACGTGTGTTTTATTCGAAATTAACGAAATCGTATAACACGCATGCACTTCCATCGTTACATAACGTGAGAAACCATATTATTTACAGTTGAGTATTGTGTTAAGGAAAGAAAACTACCAACCAATACACTTTAAATTATTGTGCTGATAATTTAAACAGAAAATAAATCGAAAATATGAATGAAATACAGGTATATTCAACTGACCTGTAACGTCTAACTTCTCTTTGCGTTTCGAACACGCGTCAGATAGTTTTGCGAAAAATTTTTTGGTGGACATAATTCATTGAAAACGTACGATTAAATGTCTCGATTTAATCAATTATGCGATTCATTCCATTATCTACTCCTTCGTTATCTATATTCATCTTTACAATAATTAATATTCATTATTTTCTCAATCAAACATTGTAGTATTAAAATGTATCATTATTTATAACTGTAAGTTATTTAACTATGAAATATACGTATATACGTGCAACTGTTGAACTCAATAGTTTTTGCAGTAGCTCTTATAAAAAAAAAATAAAGAAAAAGAAATTATGAACTTCTCTTTTTTTTTTTTTCCAAGAACCTTGCTGGCGATATGGACTCGCAACTCCGATGGATTCATCAGCTTCTCACGGCCGAGCAACAATTCGTATTGTGTTTGCAATTCGGCATTGGAAGATATCTGTTGCCGTTGGCCGAACGCAAAGACGTACTCAAGTCCAAAGAACACTCGGCGCTTTTTCAAAACGTTCAAGAGGTATGTAACATCCCGTTTTAACCGCAAAAATACCGTGCACAGGATGTGTTGTCAACGAACGGCAAGGGCAGGAAGGGAACAAAGAGTTTCTTTCCCAGCAGCCTTTATCTTGCGCGCATCGCCTCGGGAGAAACGACGACGACACGGTTTTTCGCTTAGATTTTTCAGATCTTAGATTTTTTATGGTTTTCACCTTAGAACACACACGCCGGACACAGATCTATGGGATATGATCGCGGGAAGCGTAACAATAGTCGCCACGGCCCGCCCGTTCGTCGTTTGAACAGCCGCTCCCCGTCCCAGCGCTATCCCTGCGCAACGATAGGAACCGACCAACTGCTGCGATCTATGGGTATTTCGCGTTCGATTTTGCAACGCGTCCCGATCAACGCATTAAATTAGTCTAGATACGTTTTGTTTAAAATTGTGACTCCTCGTTGTTGCAAAAAATATTTATTTCGTTTTTTCTGTTTCGTTTCTCACCACGATCGTTTCGCGTTTCCTGTTACTTCCGTTCATCCGTACCCCGGGCCCAACGCCCGTTTATTGCTCACGGGACAAACATATAACGTCCGCGCGATCGTTGCAGTTGCTGCGCACTACGGAGGACACGCTGGAGCGCATAATCGAAAACGACTGGAAAATGTTGGCGCGGAACACGTGCAAGGCGTACGTGAATAAAATCGATCAGATCAACGGCGCCTATTACAAATACTGCAAGGGCATCATACACGCGGACTGCGTGCTCGTGGACAAAATCCGAAATCCTCATTTCCTGGACCTCATCAAGGATCCGCCCATACCCGACCGCAGGCCGGATCTGATCACTTTCATCCACAAACCGTTGGAGGTATGTAGCGCGAGTCGACATTGCTTCGCTGCGAACCGTCGTAAAACGCATCGCACTACTATATACAGCCGACGTTAACAGCGTTCGAAATTCGAGGAGCTTCACGTGCCCTGGCTATTTCGTGTTTTCACGCATTGGTATAGTGAAATGTAGAAATGTCGATACCGTATGGACATTGGCCCTAGGCGATTTCGGCCGCGCTTGAACTGAACGTACCTAGAGCGTCAGTGCGACACGCCAAAACCGTGTTCTCAATAACAATTATCGCACGCCGACCGTGAGCGGTTTACCTTTTCTGTTTCACGACAGCGTCCGCGTGACGGTCAAAACTTCGCGCTTTCAATGGCGTCTGTCGTGTTTGTATTTCGCCTGGTCTTAGCGCGAGTTCAATTGAAAACCACGTGTTTCTCGTAGTAGCGATCGGAGTGCACCGTTGCGTTGGAGTTCGTTATTACTTTGAGGTTTGATGAAAACGTCTTGACCGCGTTCAAATGAATAATAAAAAAAATAAATTCCTATTGCGTACAAGGGTTATATTGCGTTTAAAGCGATTGAATAAAAAAAAAAAAAATGCTCAAAGTAGATTAGAACTTGGATATTCACGAGGGGAAAATCCGGTGATGTATGTATTACACGAGCTCGGCCGGAACGATCCATTATGGCGTGTCGCTGCCGAGACTGAATTTTTAATATTCCGATTGGACGATCGCTGGAATCACGCGAAATCGATCAGGGGTGGAACGCGGGCTATCGCGGGGACGGTAGAACGTTAAACTCAACGGACGCGCGAAAAATAGCGGGACACGGCGGTGGGTTGTGACGTTCCCGAGGACCTAAAGTGCCGCGTGTTTGTTGCAGCACTACCGGAACGTGATGAAATGCATGCAACTCGTTCAGATCAACACCGAACACGACGACGACGATTACGAAGCGCTGTCGCACATCGTACACGAAATGCAGGTAACGGCAACGTTTTCAAACGACAACCGCAAGACAGTAGTCACTGGCACTTTTTAAAAATAACACGAGGCCGATTCAATACGTGGTCAGCACCGCGTTCGGGGTGGAATCCGATTGCGTACGCTCGCTTATCGGCGGCACTTTTTTCGATATTTTCCCGCGGCACGACGACGTCCTTTGTTTTTGTGCAATATCAGACGGTTCTCGCATGACGCCGGTCGAACGTCACCGTAGTAATAACGTTCGGCCAAACGAATCGTTTTCATCTTCATCGTGTAATTGATAAGAATTCAGATTTTGCGTAACCGGTGAGGTTTATTTTAACGTGAGATCATGAACCGAACACGAACCGTCATCGAATTGAAATATTATTAATATTATTTACACAAGGTAAATTTTGTTTTTAATTAACTGCATATTAGAGTGAGAGTATAATGAATTTTCTATTCTATTGTTCGTTGTACGTTTTATAATTGTATTCGATGTTTAAGCTTTGAATATTTCCCCACCCCACCGGTTAGCATCGTTGTAGGGGTTTTAACGTACCACTTGCCGTAATAAAAACGAACCCTCTAAGGTTGAAAAAACCGCAAACGCTCCTTTTTGTATTCCGTTTTAGAAATAAAAATAATTGTAAAATTCGAAAAGAAACACACGACTAACAAGTTACACTTTCAAAAGCTTCGAAAATGATGTGTCGTCGTAATAGTAAATATTATATTATTCGATATAATGGTAACCGATATTACGATAACGGAGCCAGTTAAATTGTCTAAAATAACCGATTACGATAAACGGATATGCGGAACGTTATTCGGTGCGCATGCGTATCGACTCGTTTTGGTAAATAACGTTAACGGTGTGCAACGTTATTTTTAACCGGCGTTGTGCAAAAACTCCCTATTATTGCTGGAAAATCACGTGTATACAAAATTGGAAACGATAACAAAACGATTACCGTGAAATAAAAGTTCACACAACTTATCACCGCTGTAGATTTTATCAGTCGACCGACGAACGTTGAAGCGAACGAAGTGAATGGAGAAAGCATGGGAAAAATAAATATAATTACCTCAGAATGCAGACGATACTTGGCATTGATTGGTACGAATAAAAATATCGCATTAAACTGAACTTTTTACCCGATTACCGGTTATTATCAATAATTAACGTATTATCCTATTTGGCCGCAACATATTTATTTATTTATTTTTTTTTTTTGAAACTTTTTCAAAACGTTTAACGGACGTTCAAAAACGGTAAAATGTACTAGTATAAATTTGGCCAAGTCGCATGCGCGATCGTGTCGTTTTACGGGTTTCCATTGTTATACAGCAAAAATACGCAATAGTGTTCTCGAAAAGGTAAACATCGTACGCAATCGGATTTTACACCACGTTAATGCTACATTATCCTATTTATTTATATTACCATACGAGAACGCTGTGGTTTTTATAGAAAAACTTTATACCGTTTAACCAACAGTCATGAGCCGGTAGATAAATTGTTTAACCGGATCACCAAGACCTGTCCATAACAGCTATATCCATAGTTATTAACGATTAGCAATAGAAATCGTATAGGCTGTACTGAATTTAATAGGTATTAAATACTTAACGGTTAAAACCGTATAGAATCAAAGGTTTCGTGAATCGACATTATAACATTTACTTTTTGGGATATGTCCAAGGGTTTGGGTCTACGTTCAACCGGGGAGATAAAAGGAAAACGAGTGGAGAACATCGATATAAAAATAAAAATATAATACGACTGAGAAGGATGGAACCAGGAGTAGGTCCGAATGATCAGCACGCTTTACGTCCGGAAAAGGAAATATCGGTTAAGAGTGTATTGTTCAATGTTCGGGACCATACGGACAAGTTAATAGAAAAATGTATGTACCTCGGGGAGAATCAATTTCGGTCAAGGGGTCACGCGTCCCGGCCGGTCCTCCTCCGCACCTGCACGTATCGGCCGAAGTCGTGTGCCGGGAGAATTATTAACGTAATAGTTTTCCCGTAATTCGATTCGTCCGTAACATGTTACGTAAAATCACACCGTCCGAACGGCGGAAAGCTGACCCACGAACAACGCGCATTACGAAGGTTAATCAATATTATAGGCTACGTATCGGTTCATAACGGCGGAATCTGGTCTAATGGAACCGGACATAGACGGGAAGCCTTTGCTATCGCTCAACGATCTGGAAGCTCGTCTCGTTTTCACCCGGTGCAAGGTCAGTACGACGATATAATAACGAGTAAAATTATTATTATCATCATTATTATAATTATAAAATAATTTTTTTTTTTTTTTTATAATTTTTGTTATTACACATTTTTTTTTTTACGTACTCAATCAATCGATTTACACATCCGTGTGAATCGTATTCAGTGGCGTGCGCAAGGCGAGATCATGGGGGATATATCCCCCATGGTCTTTAATTTTTTTTTTGTTAAACGTATTTAAGAAATACGACTGGGCAGTCACGGTTAAATGGATTGCGTGTTGACGAACATACATCGAGACATTCCATTACCAACAGAAAAATTTATTTATGAATTTATTGTAAAACCCAAATGGATGAATTTTCGCCTGGTTTGCATTTTTTTTTTTTGTATTATAAAAATTGAAAATAATACGTTTTTATGTATGACATCCCTCCCCCCCCCCATACCAAATTCCTGCGCAAGCCGCTGATCGTATTCACGTTTAAAAGCCATTATAATACCGTTTCGTTGTGCGCGCCGACGTTGCAGCCGTTCACGTTGAACACGCCGGACCGCCATTGGATATTCGCCGGCGACCTTAGCCGCGTGGAAGGACGGTCCGTCCGGTCTTATTGGGCGCTGCTGTTCTCCGACATCCTATTGTTCACCAAAGTCAGCCGGGACCGGGTGCTGTTTGTCACCGACGAACCCTTGCCGCTATCCTCGATTGCTCAAATACAGTTCTCCGTCAAGAAAAAAGGTACACCCGTGGCCATTGTTCAACTCCGACATGTTGATAGATCTGTACGTTTAGATGGGCATGGCCGTTTTCGACCAAAAACGTACCCTTCCCTTTTCGGCCGATTCCCTATTTGACAAAAACAAAAATTTATATAATAAATTTAAAATAATTAAATAATGATGTACAATAATTATAAATTAATTATTAAAATATTTATATAAAAGAGAACGATATTTTTTATCTAGTTTTGATCTCTTGTCGTAATAAAAATTGTTTGCATTTAATTTTTTTTCGAAAAATCGGAACTTTCATTTTACAAAATTTAGGACTTCGCTCTTTACGTCAACCGGCTCCACTCACAAACTCGAGTGTCACTGCGTGACACTTTTCGGGAGGATGGGGCTTCGCCCTAAAGGGAATTAAAGTCTAAGCCTAACCTAGTTTTTGTACAAACTTTGATACTGCTGTAAATGGGATTATATGCTCTGTATGTGAATCTAAAACCTCGTTACGCGAGTAAAACCCTGAATCGTCATTAATATATTATAATAGTTTCCGTCATAATCAAACATTGTATATTATTATTTCATTATTTTAAATTTATTATATACATTTTTGTGTTGATCGAAAAAGGAAGGGTACGGTGTTGGTCGAAAAGGGACTCGCCCGTTTAGATGTTTAGATTTTACTCCGACGACTTTCCTCGGAATTAGTATCGCCTTCTTGGATTTTCGCATAGTTTTGATTCGATAGTACATTCGAATCAAATTTGTTGTTTTCTTTATAATATACACAGCAGTTAAGTTACGTGGAATAAAGTATTCTATTGCAGTCGATTCAATTTTATTCAAGTAGTTTGTAAGAAATGAGATAAAAAGTGGTTTTTGTATCAAACGTTTTAAATATCCTAAATACTTTTTATCGTGTTGGGAGTAGTATAATAATATTTCATTGACTGGGTACAGAAATGTTTACGAAAACCGGGAAAAATGCGAGTAATTTTTAATTTTGCGTCACGGGAGTTTAATAAATTGTTGTCGTTTCAGATACAGAATTCCGATTAGTGATAAATAGTGGATCAGATAACACGTCCTGTCACAGTAGTCCGGCCATGACCGGATGTAGTCCTTTGTTATCCGATCTGTCGGGTACCCTTTCGAGATTGCCTAAAAACAGAGGAAGAGTTATCGTACTCCGAGCGCCCAAACCTGAACTCAAAGCGGTATGGCAAAACCTCATTCAGCGACAAATGTAAGTATACACGTGCATAAACATCGGCTTTAGCCGACTTGAACCGAAAGAACCGCGTGCATCTCTTTCTCACTCTCTCTCTCTCTCTCTCTCTCTCTCTCTCTCTCTCTCTCTCTCTCTCTCTCTCTCTCTCGACCAAAAGGATCTGTGCCTTCACTTCGGAAACAGAAAGCACGTCACGGACTAGATGACGGCGAAACGATTACTGCAGTTAATGCGTTTTCGATAATTTTCAAACAAATTATTACTTATATTCTATACAATAACTACGTATTCTTGTACAATCATATTATGTTTGTTATATGTGCCCGGCTTGACGCAACGGTTTCGGTTTTAGACTGACGTTGGACAAAAACGCATTCGCCCCGGACGGTAAGTGTAAAGGATCGTCGTCGGAGCCGCCGGACTCTCCGGACGACCTGCTGGCCAACTCGCTCGCCACGCTGGACGACGAAGTCTACGCTGATAGGCTAAAGGTACAGTGTAAGCTCTCGCTAAGCAACCCGACCACGCCCACCGGCACCACGTCCGACCGTTATCCTGTCCGTCCGCCGTCCTGAGATTCGGTTTCCCGGCCGAACAGATGCTGTAGTCCCACCAGGTTCTAGAGTAGAGTGTTTGTTAGGTCGGGAACTGCGGCGAAGGCCCCTTGTGCGAAAATGTGCTCGAACCGCTGAAAGAAATTTAAAGAATAACATAAAAAAAAAAAAAAAAAAAAAATAACAAAAAGACCGTCCACTTATCCCGAAATCGTCATACGTCGATTGCAGCCTTATAACCATACAGTACGGTACATAGATAATTAATGATTACAACGCGTCGATCGATTCCATTTATCATCGTGTATATCCCGCAGATGAAATTCGACCCATGATTGTAGATTGCTTATAATTATTCATCACACAGATATGTCGAAAACGTAAAAAATTCAAACGCATGGATCTAAAAATAATAAATCGTGTTGATCAACTCTTATTTTTTTGTTTTTTTTTTAATAAAATGACCGTTTAATATTTTATGCGAAAAAATACAAATCATCAAAACACTATTCCGCGTGCGATCCAGACGATTTTAGACTTAACACAATGAATAAATTACAAAAAAACATACGGTAACTAGATAGCCGACTCGGTGTAAATACTTCAAGGGGAAATCTTTGGGGTGTATTACTATATTACGCACGTAAGGCGAGAACGACCGAGTGGAATTGAAAGGTGATTTATCTCTCTATCGATGTTGATCCTCCGATAATCGATACGTCTACGTATTTCACTGTACCGTTCTTGTCCCGTTTAAAAATGATTGATGATCATTTAAATCGGACAAACGGTTACACGAGACGAACTTTTAAATAACGATAAAACGAACAACGACAATAGGTTGATATTCGTATCGTTGCGCATACATAATAAATATATATCACATATCAAAAGTAAAGTCAAACGATTTCGACCACGGCAATGGATCGATTGTTTCCCTCGCGATGATCTTTACGAGTGTATACGCCCGTGTGCGCGCATGTGTGAGTATACGTGTGTGGACGGACAATAATATTTTAACGGTGGCGTTCTACGGGCGATTGTTTATAAATCGATATAGGATCAGAACTGCGCATCCTTTACGATTCGTATTACACGTGTATATGTTACCGGAAAATATGACAATCAGTCCGTGTTGACAATGACTAGTCAATAACGATAATGCCTGATTTAGTAAGGAATTAATGTCAATACCTAGTCATTGATAACAATTCCTAATAAAAGAAGGCATTGATAATAACATTAAAAATTAATTTAATATATTTTAATACTCATTAGCTATTTAGGATAAATCATAATCTTAATCTTTATTGTTACGTGGTAAATTACTATGACACTTGGAATTATATAATCTAGTAGAGCGGTACCCAAACCGTGCTCCGCGAAGCCTTTGGTGCTCCGCAACGGTTTGCCTAGGGCTCCGTTCGTAGCACCGCAAAAGATTCAAAAAAAAATGTTCGACATTTAAAATTAATGTATATTTCATGAAGACTTGAATGTTCCGTAATCAGATCGATCACCGATAAAGCGGTGTTGATATTTGTTTGAACGCGGATTTATAAACATTGCCTAATATAATACGGAAACGTTGATGAAACTACGAAATATCCAACATTGCCTAACCTTTCCAGTCGTTGTCGACAATGACTAGGATATACCGACGATTCCTGAATTCTCATCTTTTCCGGTAACATATACAACACGTACGCGCACGACGGATCAAACCTTTCCGCGCAGTTAGAGAAATATATCGATTGGTCAACGACGATGCATGCTACAACATAGTAACCTAAGCATAGAATATTTTTATTTTTTTTTATTTTTTCTTATTTTTTTTATAGAACGGCAGCAGTAAAACAGTATTTTTGGTTATTAATTTCCGTTGTAAATTTGTTGCACCGCAATGTGTATTTTTTCCGAAGACCTACGTGTGCGCGCGCGCACGTTCGTCGTAGATTACAGTTACCACCGTATAACCGTAGTGGCTTACGAATACATATATATATATATATATATATATACATACCGGTAACGTATACCAGTATACCACCCGTACTCGCCCGCGTTGTACGCCCGTCGATTACACGTTTTTACACGTATATTTTACGTAGCCGATTTTGGAGTACATTTTTTGAGCACGGGGCGCCGGCATCTGTTGTGACGCCGGATGGGCGAACGTGTAACAAAACGTTTTACCTTACATTAACATTTGTATACATGCATTATGATTCCGTATTGTAATTTTTTTACGACGTGTTACTGTTTCTGTACAACGTATACCGTAGTTATGTAAAAGAAAGAAAAAAAAATAAAAACGACCCTGAACGTGATCGACCGACACCCCCCACCCCACCCCGTCGGTACGCATAGGTACCGTAGGTATTTACCTTGTTATTATTGTACATGTGTATGCGTGTACGTGTACCCGTACAGTTTTTATAGCGTAAAACGAGATATTTAGCGTGTAGTGCTGTTATGCGCATTCGGTTTTAGAAAATTAGACGATAGACGACGCCTCGATATAATATATATATATATATATATAAAGTCTCTCCGCCTCTACCTACTACCGCGTAAGGAAAATATTTTTTATTTATTTAACAACATTTATAAACGAACTTCGCACGGACGTGTTCCGTGAACTATCTCCTCCTTCCGGCATAGTGTTATAGTTTTGAAGTTGATTTATGCGTACAACTTATATACTTATTATGTTCATTTCAAATCAAATATTATAAAGTAAAAGTTTAATATTTTAATACATAATAAATATATATACATATATAATGATTATGATCCTTGTTTTAAGGTATAGTTAACTGTTCGCGAATGTTTATAACACGTATTAAAATGTTTGTAAAATGTAAATGTTTCCGTCCCGAAAGTTTTGAACAACTTGTCTATATTATGATGGATTTGTACATGTCGACATATCGTTTTTATAATAGAAAATTATCTTTGTAGTCTAATTTAAATCTAAAATATTTGTAATTAGAATATGAATAAAATGTTTTCAAAGAAATATATACGGTCAAATTTTTTATTCCACTTACTGTTTCGCTATTTAAACGGTAAAAACAATTTCGACGATATTTTTTTACGCTAGGTACGTTATTTCACGTTATTAAACGTCGTTATGCAACGTCGGAGCAATACCGTTATAATATTAACGTCTAATGTACGCGTATAGAACGTGGGCGTTAAAAAAAAATAAAATAAATAAATAAATAAAACCAAATTGTTTAAAAGAAACCATTGCGTACACATATTGTTACCGTTTAAATAGCATCTGGACAATTTTCCTCATTTTCAGCTACTGTACGGTCCAAAGAAGAATGCAACGCCGCCGAACGCCGTATTATGTTAAGGAAAATATGTACAATGCATGTATACAAAAAAAAAAAAAAAAAAAATCTCTCGAGTGAATGCAGACGTGTTGTTTACCAGTAATATTTTTAAGCATGCACAACAAATTCGTACCCAATTATTTTGGTTTATTTTAATCGTACAACGTTTTTTTTATTTTTTTTACTATTTACTTTTTGTGTGTGTTTTTTTCGAACTGGTCATTGATAATAACGTGTAGTAAGTACGCAACGAAATCCACGTGCACACCCGTGATTTTCCGATCAGCAGCAAAGATGTTAACACCGCGGAAGTAATTCGTATACGATAAACATATAATTATGCACAACCCCGTCGATCATGCGCGGCTGTAATGACGAACGTACAGGTACAAAAACGCTAGTTGCGTCCCAAAGATATCAACGAAAAAACGTCTAACGATCCGAATTGCGGCCCGAGTTTATTTATGGGTACAGACGAGTTGCGGCCCGGGGGTTTCTAACTCTAGATATTTTAATCTCGACCGATAAGATATGATCAAAATATAATGTGGATACCGATAAGTACACCTTAGTCTCCGCTTTACTACCGCTAAGAACGTTCCGTCGCTTTTCTGTGTATTTCAATTTATTTATAATGTCGAATGTTGAAATGTTGAGTGAAGAAAATCGCAGTTTATATGTAACCGATGGATATAGATTTCGTTTCCGTAAACATTTAAAAAATGATGTCGATCGATATTGCTTTACTAAAAAGACTTGTACCGCGTACATCCATTTAAATAATAACGTAATAATAGTATTGCTATAAATGTGAAGGAAAATGAAGCTTTTTAAATTTAAATGTACATATTTAAATTAATTCAATTTCAAATTTCGGGCCGCGATTCGTATGCACCCCAAAAAAAAAAAAAAAACCTCGTTCGGAAGCAATTTTTACCACGGGACGCAACTAGTGGCCACCCCAAAAACATAAATGTCGCGGTGACATGCGTGTGCAACACGAAACGGTCCCGCGTTAACGATATTGAATGTTGAACATCAAATTCGATGATCGTGAAACGTTTGTCCGGTGAATTCCCGCAGCGCTTATATTAACGCCGGAGGTATTCGTGCAATCCGTTCGATATTTAATCAAATAACAACGTTCGCTAGTCGCGCGCATGATTTACGACCGTTCGAAAAACATAACTCGCATAATTTTGTATTGTGTACCGACAAATCCATTATTCATATACCGTCTAACCGAATCGCAATCCGAGCTCGAATTATGTTGTGTATACTCCTCTTACCCGTTTCAATTCAACGACAACCAACGCGCGACGGTAATGAACAATACAAAACGGTCCGCGGTCGATAAACGTTCGTCGTGCAGGTACGGAGTTCTCACTGCCGTCGGATATTGTTGAAAATATCATTTGCACCGGTGAGCTGAAATTAACAATTACGATTTCGGAAATGGCACTTCGAACACGCAATAGTTAAACGAGATAAGTTCAAACGTGCATGCGCATAGTTTAAAAATATTTACGACCCTATCGTTATAATAATATAATTTAGACGATTTAAATGGATTTCGACGTGATAAACGTT